TTTCAGCGACTGTTTCCACAGCCTCCTCCTCCAGGTTCTTTCTGTTGATGGAAGGAAGGACTGGATACTTATTGAGAGAAGAGGAAGCCCCAATGGGCACTTGCTGCAGCAGCTCAGGGATCTCATCAGAGACTCCCTGGCTTGGAGATTTGGGTGCACAGGCTCCTGGTTTCTGGCTGCTTGGAGACTCATAGGGAATGGCTGGAGGCGGAGAAGATAGTACGCGACGAGAACACACCTCCGTGCCCTGGGGTTTTTGCAGACTCGGTCTTGTCCGTCCCTTGGCAGACTTGGGTCTTATCATGTGCCTCTTTAGTGAGTTTGGCTGCCAAATGAGGTCGTCAGCTGCTGTGCTGACAACAGTGCTACATTCCGGTGGCGCTATATTCACAGGGGCTTCTGTGGCCATTGCTTCTCACGACCCCTAAAGGCGCAGGAGAAAAACAGGAGGACGTGGGTTAAACTTCCTGGGCCTCCTAGATCCAAGCCATTCCCTCCCTGAGTGCCCAGAATAAGCACAAATTTCTGGCATCTAGAAAGGGGCGCCAGCTGCAATGTATTCATTCCGGCATGCATTCATTTATTTTAGGCACTTGGGAGAGATCAGCGAACCCAAGTCCTTGCAATGTAAATTATTATAGTGAGGAGAGACAGGGGTTAAAACCCACAAGTAAACAGATAGTTTCAAAGAGTAACAACTGCTATGAAGAAAATAAAATGTATTGTACCAGAGAGTGACGAAGTGGGGGACTAATGCTTATTCTTTCCGGAGGGAGGGAGTTTCTGGTAAAAACCAGAAAACCTGCTGTGTTTCAATAAAACTTCATTTTTGGACTCTGAAATTTGAATTTCAGATAATTTTCATGTGTCACAACATATTCTCTTTCGATTCTTTTTCAATGATTTAAAAATGTGAAAGCTATTGTTAGTTCGTGAGCCACACAAAATAGGTGACAAGGCTGGATTTGGCCTGTGGGCCGCCATTTGTTGACCCATCTTATAGCGACTCTGGGCACATGCTAATTCTACAGACGTATGAGCCAGAAAGATAGAGTGATTTCCTGATGGTCACACAGCCAGCTGGTGGCAGAGCTGGAGACAGGACCCAGGTCTTGTGACATGCGGTCTTGTGTCCTCTGTACCCATACAAGCTGCTTCCTGCAGAGCAGCCTTGGTGCCCTCCCAGCACATTGCATTCTGTATGTCTGCTAGCTCTTCACTTTTTTTTTTCTTTTTTCTCCTTTTTTTTATTTTTATTTTTGAGACAGAGTCTCACTCCATCACTCGGGCTGCAATGCGGTGGCACAGTCTCAGTTCATTGCAGTCTCCACCTTCTGGGTTCAAGCTATTCTTGTGCCTCAGCCTCCCGAGCTGTTCACATTTCTGTCTTCCAGGCTGCCTTATAGGCACCCTGGGGCCTCTGTATTTGGATCTCCCACCAAAAGTCTATGTGAGTGCTGGTTAAATCCGCCAGAAGCAATGAAATGAAACATGGTGGGAGGCGTGAACATCTCTCTGTGCGGACCCGGAATTGCTATACCATGACACCTCCTCTTTCATTGCCATCTTGGTGGCCACTTCACTAACACTATTACCACCACCTCCTCCTCCCAATCTCCAGTTCTGTCTTTCCCTAAACATTGCAAACATCTTGTTGGACCCCCTGCCTCCCTCTTAATCCTGACCACCACTGTGACTCCTGCCTTCTCCACTCACAAGCTGACCTGGCCTCTCCTAGTCTTCTAAAGACCTTCTGACGACTTCCCAGTGATACATGGTCCCAAAAAACAGCATATTTGGGTGCAAAGGACAGAGAACTGGGTGTCACATGACCTGAATTCAATTTCAGCTTCTCTGCCACTGGCTAGCTACGTGACCAAGGGGCACTCACTCTATCTTTCCGGCACAGAACTTTCCTCGTCTATCAAATTAGCTAAATGATCTTCGAGATATTACTTAAATACCTTGAAACATCAGTCTTTTTGTCTGTAGGACGAGGATAATAACATGAAATAATGTAGGTAAGGCAGGAAGCACCAGGCTTAGAGCATGGTAGAGACTTCATTAAATGTTAAGGGTTTTGTTTGTTTGTTTTTGTTTTTGCTTTGGGTTGTCTGTTCAGTGCTCTCTGTTAGGCTAAGTTCAAAAGCCTTACTTGTTTTGCTTTAGAACTTTCCCCCTGTGTCCTCAGTGATTCTACTCCTACGGAACCAGCTGGGTGAGTCCTGAAACTCACGCCCGCCCTGTCCACTGTGCAGAAATGCAGGGAGGTGGACTGCTATGAGCTACCACCTATGCAGTTGCCTCAAAAATATGTGAAAAAAAAAATCCTGAGTTGCTCATTTCTCTTCTAATTCTACACTTTGACTTGCCTCAAATTCACTTCCTGCAGAACGATTTGCACTTCCTGCAGAATGATTTGCACTTCCTGCAGAATGATTTGCACTTCCTGCAGAATGATTTGCATTTCCTGCACATGCGCTCCTTTCATCACAAAATCTTGAACAACGTAACCTGAGCCTCTTGGGCTTTGTATTCTAACCTTACCATTCTGTGCATACAACCACTGCTGCCTAATTTTAGGGAGTATCTGTTTCATCCCCACTCAGGACCAAACAAAACACAAGATCCCTGTATATTCCGGATGCCCTTCTCAATTCCAAATCTTGGACAATGCTACCTTTTAAAAAAAATTTTAAAGCCCTCTATGTCTGCTGCATTCTACTCACAGCCTGAGTCTCTCTCCACTCCCATTTTCCATGTCTCCCTCGTCTTTCACACCCAGTCTGGCTGCTAGTAGCTCAGGAGGCTTCTCCTTAGCAAAGTTTTGGCATCAAAAAAGACTGCCCATCTCCTTGTTAATTTCATCTATTTTCTGATCAACTGTGAAGAATGTGTTTTGCCCCCTTTAGTCTCATTCTCAAGTCTTTCTCTGGCAATTAGCAGTTCTGCACTTTCACTCAGGATGGCAAGAGAAGGTCATAGCTGTCCAACTGTTCTGCCAAAGATAAGCCCCACAGGCAAACCCACGCCCCTCTCGGCCCACCCTCCTCACTTGTGGAATGGCTATTAATTTGCCACAGCTTCTACAGAATTATCACAGGCTTGGCTTCCAACACCCACACATGCCTCAGGAAGGTTTAACTGTCAGTGAGTTTGGTAACTTAGAAACCTCTTCCTTAACAACTTTGATGAGGAGAGTCATGTGTTCTCACAGGCTCTCTGCAGGGATTATTTTTAACAGTAAAACTTGAGTATGTGCATGCACTTTCTATACCTTTTGGTACTATATAATTATCCATGTTCAGGGGGTGTCATATTCAAGACACCCTGGTCATAAGATAACATGACTGTGAGCTATCTCAGAGAAAAACCTCAATTATGACTAATTCCTAGGAACCCACTCATGGTTATTTAGAGACTAACACCTCCTTCAGGTAAAACCATTATATCCAACCTGCTTTCATAACCCACTGCCTCCTCCCGAGCGCAGGGACCATCTGTTACACGGAGGGAACACCAGCTCTCCCTAGCATCCATCACGTAAGGATGGGGTGGTGGGGGAAACAGGTGTTTGGGGATATGGCCCAACTGTGCCTTGATATTCACACCTCGGGTCCGAACTCTGCCCGCCACCCTCAGTCCAGGAAGGCTCCAGCAGCAGCCGTCATTATCCCTGCTCAGTTCATTTCACCACCTCTAGGCCTGGCAGCCGCTCAACCACAAAGTGATTTGACAAGATCTAGGCGTAGGCATCTACCAAGCTGCCAAGCTGAATAGGCAAGTGGCCTGTTTACTTAAACACAATAGCTGCACCCCAGAGGCCTGCTAGGAGTCAGGAAGCAAACACTGCTAACTGTTTCCAGGAAGTTGTCAGAAGGGCAGGTGCCCATTCCTTCAGATTCATCACCATATCAACTAGAAAGAAGTAAATGTGGATGGGAGAAGCTAAAGCAGGGCTCCTGCTTTCTAAGGGTACCCACCAGCCACCACAGGGTCAGACCACCCCATTTCACTCCCAACCCAAATCTAAGCCTACAGTATATGCAGTAAAATATAACCACCTACATGCCATCTGCTGGTATATACCAAGATGCATACATTTGAATTGGTCTTTTAAAACTGTATCAGTTAATCCTATCCGTTGCCATTCCCCCCCCAACCCACCCCCACCAGGCTTTCAGGATAAAAATGCTCTGAAGAACCAACAGGAGATGGTAGTTGGCTTGAGAATGAAAAAACTCTGGTACCATGGCCAGTTCTGCCCCAAACTAATGATTAGAATACACTGTCCTATACAGAGTGCCACATTGAACCACAAGCCACCAAGTGATCAAATGTTTGGAAAGAGAACTGGGGATGATTCCAGCAACAGAAAGGCAGGGAGGTGGTGGGGGTAACTCATTTATGTCCAAGTGCCAGCACCCTAGAAGGCAACAGGCTTAAGGGGCAGGGGAGGGATCTGGGGGAGGGTCGAGAAAGAGCGTTTAGAAAGTGAGAATTGACTTAAGTGAAAGAGCACAGGTCTGGGGGAGGGTCTATCTGGTTCGGGTCTCTGCCCTGCCCGAGACTGGGACATCCTTTTCTCTCCCAGGGTCTGTGTCCCCAGCCTGGAGGGCATGCCCAGCGGTTGCATAGGCTACTCAGCTTCTGCAGAGCCCGGGTGTCATCCTGTTTTGGTGAAGGTCAGCTCTGGACAGGCTTCCTTTGCCTCGGGGAGCAGGCTTTTATCCAGGCCCCTCGCTTATCTCCAGGGGTTCTCGTCCCTGGGGGCGCGTTTGGGGTGGCCTGCCCCAGTGACCTGCAGGGGGTGACCTGCTGGGAGCTCGGGGGACTGGCCTGCTCCGTCCCTTCCAGGCCTGCCAGGGGCCGAGAGGGGTCGGGCAGCCGCTCTCACCTCGCCGTTCCGCTCCATCCGCCGCCTGTGCCCGGCTCTGTCCCTCTGGTAAACAGCCCTGGTCTCCCGGGCAACGCCGCGGGGTGGGGGGCCACGTGCTTCCGGCGTGACCGACCGACCGGAAGTGGCCTGGGTCGGGGTGGGGTCAGGTGGGGCCGCTAGGCCGGGAGGGCGGAGGCCCTGAGCCCCAGGTCAGTGGACAGCGAGCTGCCATGCCCCGCCGGGAGGCGACAGGGACCCGCGGCCTCCTTCTCTCCTGCTCTTCCTAGCGTCGCCTGCCTCTGCTTCTCGCTGGGGGAGAGTGTCCGGGGAAAGGAGAGCCCCGGCCCGGGCATGGTGGAACGGGGAGCAGCCCCATTAGTCTCAAACCCCGTTCGTCACCTTGGGTCAGGCCCGGACCCTTTCAGTGTCCCTGGTTTTAAAATGAGGCTGTGGGACTGATGCATTCCCGGAGCTCTGGACTCTGAGTGGATGCTTCTAGGGCATCTGTGTGAGTTGCGGGGAGCAGGGCCCCCTCCTCAGTACAGCGCTTTCAGCACCAGTTCCTTGCCCTCCTCGTGTTCACATCAGCCTCCCGCCTCGGGGCCACATCGGGAACCTTATCAACAGCATCGGCAGCTCCTCTGATGGCCCCAGCCACAATCTCTTCCACTTCCAGCTGCTTGAGTCACTTCTGGTAAGTTTTCCACCATCTTTGGGCTTCCTGCCCGTTGCTGTCTCTGCTTTCCACCTCGCCATCAACCTGCTTCTTCCCCATCCTGGCCCATTACCTCCACATTCTCAAAGCCTCCTTCCGTCCGATGAAACCCCAAGTCAAATCAGTCCACCTACACACGGGCACTGAAGAAATCTTGGCCAGCCACAAACCTTGGTGTAACAGAAACACGGAGTCTCCAACCTCAATTAGACCCTCAGTCCTGCACTTCCATCCCCACCCCTGGGTTCTCTTTTCTTCTTTTTTTGTTTTTGGAAGGTGAGACAGGGTCTCGCCCCTTCACCCAGGCTGGAGTGCAGTGGTGCAATCACAGGCTCCCGAGTAGCTGAGACTACAAGCATGCACTGCCATGTCTGGCTAATTTTTATTATTTTTGGCAGAATGGGGTTCTGTCATGTTGCTGAGGCTGGTCTTGAAGTCTTGGGTTCAAGTGATCCTCCAGCCTCAGCCTCCCAAAGTGCTGGGATTATAGACATGAGCCACCTCACCTGGCCTCTCCTTTCTTCTCAATGGCTATTTCAAAACTTTTGTTTTGCTCCCCAAACCTCTCATCTTTCCCCCTCCCACCTCCCTCCCTCCTCCTTAGAAGATACCTTTACCGCCATCTTCAAAGAGAAAATGGAAGCCATCATATGGAAACATCCTCAGCCTTCTGCCATCAGACCTGCAAACCTGCCTGCCAACGCTTCCTTGCTTTCCTCACTCCCTCCAGTTCTAATGTCTTCTGATTCTCTCCAAGGTTAATTGCTCCTCCATGGGTGCTCGGACCATTGCTGGCCACACAGTCACACATATACACACCCTCACACCCCCTCTGACCCCTGATGATTCCTCCCGACCCTCCCTCATCTGCCTAATTCCCATTCACCCTTGAGGTCCCAACCTCCTGGATGAAGCCTTTCTTCCAAGGTGGAATTAAGATTTCTTCAAAAGAAGTCTTAACTGGACTACCGTCTTCCAAGCTCTAGACTCATGAGATACACAGATGAATAGTTTACTGACAGTGTCATTAGAAGATAATGTTAGTAGATATACAAGAACCATAGATTCAGACCAAATGAGGTGACTCACGCCTGGAATCCCAGCACTTTGACATACCAAGGTGGGAGGATCACTTGAAGCCAGGAGTTTGAGACCAGCCACGGGCAACATGGCGAGACCCCATCTCTCCAAAAACAAACAAAAAAACCATAGATTCATTCCCTAGCATGTGGCAAAATATTTGTGATCTGGTCTGTCCCAGACATGTGGACACAGGATTGTGACGGGAGCACAGTTCTGTCTTACAAGAGGTTCACAGTCCGGTTGGGAGGATGCATTGCGCACTGGTCGAGAGTTACAAATCAGTTTATTTTCAATACAATTTGAGCCCAGGGTGGAATAGCAGGCACAGGCTGGACACGATTAAGTGCCAAGTGACTGGCACAGACAGGGCAGTTCTTTGGGGCCATGAAAGATCATTTCAGTGGTGGTGGTTCTGCTCCTCTCAGAGGGGAAGACTGTGAGCCGTGGGAGTTGGTGGGGAGGGCCTGGGCTGGGTAGGCCGCTCGTTTGGCTTGCCCCCGCACTCACTCTGATCATCCAGGAGGCTTCTGTGGCCCTCGGAATGTGTAAAACATGGTGGTTTCAGGAGCTGCTGGTTTTGCAACTAAGTGCTGGCAGCTTATTTCTTGTTAATGATTCTGTCAAAAGTTATCTTAGCAATGCTCTTCAGCCCTGCAGCGCCCACCCCAAAAAAGATTAAAGTGGATTCTTCATCAGCTATTTTAGAATCACCTAAGAATTATGCAATCCTTTGGAGAATCAAATTGGCTTCTCACCCCGCGCGTGTGTGTCTGTGTGTGTGTGAGTGTGTGCGCGTGCATGCGCACGCCTTTGCCAGTGCACAGTGAAGTGGCGGTCTGTTTAATGTCAGCAGTACATGCAGTTAATGTCAGCAGTACAGGCCTTTTGCGCTCCAGTGTTGCGTAATGCACAACCCCGGGGGAGGCAGGAGAGGAGGAAAGGAAGCTGCCAGTCCATTGCTGTGACTCTGCTGCCTTTGTCCCCAATCTTCTATATAGAGGATGTCTTCAAAGGATGGTCCCGATAATGGCTGGTGTCAGGCACATAGGCAGAGTGGATCTCAGTAAACATGGGCAGAGGTCATTGCCCTGCCAGCTGAAATGTGGACTCACCTTCCTTTGCAGCCATGTCTCGCTCTGCTCTCCAGCTCTCTCCCTGGGCCGCAGCCAGCCTGCTCCCCACATGGGCCCCAGCTTTTTCATCTCCAGTGTCTTTGCTCATGCCTGCCCCACCTTGCTCCCTTCCTTGAAGGTAAGCCAAACCGACTGATCCTTCAAGGCCCATCTTAAAAGCCACCTCTTCTGTGAAGGCCTTTCCTGACCACAGCCTCCCCACAAAACCTTCTGTGCTGTCTCAGGTCCCCTTTGGTCCAGGGGAACATGCCCAAGATGGCACTGTGCACCCTCCCTAGGTCGGCTCCTTTCGTCTGCACGACGCTTCTCCATGGAGGCATCATAGCTGTCCTTTGCTTCAGAAAACCGTGGAGCCTCAGGGTTCCCCTCAGTGAATGAGCAGCAGAGCAACTTTACAACCCACATCCAGCTGTTTCCAAAGCCCACCCTGGACTCAAGTCCCACCCCCGAGTCCCACCCCCAAGTTCCTCACCTGCATGTTCCCCCATGGCACTTATCTGCATTGTCCATTGCTCTGGTCGTAGTGACAGCAGGCATGGCCTCTAAAGCCAAAGCTTGAGTTTGAATCCTGGCTCCGCCACTTGCCAGCTGCGGATCTTGGGTAAATGATTTACCTTGGCTAGATGTCAGTTTCCACACCTCTAGAAGGGAGGTGATAAGCACAGGATTGTTGTGAGGCTGGGTGTATACCTCCTCCAGTAGGTTGTGAGCTCCTTGAAGGCAGGAACTTGCCTGTCTCAGAACCCCCTGCTTTGCCCACACAACGCTTGCTTTGTGATAGGTGCTCAGCAAGTGAGAATAAGTTAATGATGTGCTGATTCCAAGGCTAGCCTTTCCACTGAGCGATCCAGCAAGCTGCTAATTGGTATCCTTCCCAACCATATTTGGCTTGGAGTCCAAATGACCTCCCCAGGGGCTGGCTGAAGGCAGGAGCCCCAGTTTCTTAGCAGCTTGTCGCCACAGAGCGTTTGGCCCATTTTGAATGAGTGACTTGTAGATTTCACAGTCTATACCCAGTGTCCTGCTCTGCCTGTCCTTGATCTCATTAGACATATGGATTGAGATCATGGGTAACCTTTAAGTAGAAGGTGAACTAGGTGGATATTCTAGTAACAAGTCCAAGAGGCTGACAGTTAGTCGTGGCTCCTGTGACCAGCTACCTGAGGGGACCTGCAAGAGGGAACTTTCTGGATGATGAAACTTAACAATAGGGATACATGCTGGGAACTTCATTGCTAGGTGATTCCGTCATTGTACAAACATCGTGGAGTGTGCTTACCCAAACCTAGATGGGTCTAGCCTACTACACACCTAGATTATATGGTGTCGCCTATGGCTCCTAGGCCACAAACCTGTACAGCATGTTATTACTGTTCTGAATACTGTAACACAATGGCAATTGTAACACAATAGTATTTGTGTATCCAAACAGATCTAAACACGGAAAAGATACAATTTAAAATATGGTATAAAAGATAAAAAATGGCATGCCTATATAGGGCAGTTACAATATAATCTTATGGGACCACCATCATTTGTGTGGACGAAAATCTCATTATATGGTGCATGACTGTGCCACAGCTTTTTATTACTTTCCCTGTATTGCTGGAAAATATCCAAAAAATGTATAGCCTCCTTTCCGGTCTTGTTAAGCAGAACACATCAAACACGGAACTCACCTTGGCTACTGTTGACCAAGTGTTTTCACCTTCAAGAGCTTGTTGAATCTTGCCGGCATTCTGTGGGGGGCCAGAATCACTGTCTCCACCTCTCTAGTGGAAGAAGCTGAGGCTCAGATGGTTTAAATCTGTCAGGAAGGGGCAGAACAGCTCCAGCCCTCTTCTTTGACGTAGACTCCTGAGTTAATTGCCCTCCACCCTTGCAGTTTCTTGCACAATGCTACCTTTCCTTGGCAACTCATGGTCAGTAATTGTGCTCCAGGTGCACTATTTTGATGCGGATGGACGCAGCTGCCCCAACACACAGTGGCCCAGGCTCCTAGGCTTCGTTGTTTATCGCTTTAATCACCCCTCTCTTACCTTCCTATTAAGAGAAGCCGCTCTCACACCATTCCTCTGCAGCTGCTGGACCTGAGAAATGAAGCTGAGCAGCTTGTTAGAATTGTATCTAAAATAAGAGTCTAAGAGTGTGGTGATACCTGCTTTGCTGCTTGGGTTGTTTTGGGTTTTGTCTTCTTGGTGTTTTGGATAGGCACAGAAGCAAGAGAGCTTTCAAGGGTTAGGAGGGTCAGCTTTGGAGTCAGACACACCTGGGGTTAAGTCCGAGACCTGTCAGTTTGCAGGGTAAATGACCTGACCTCTGCCAGCTTCAATTACCCTTATTGGTAAACTGGAATTAATTGTCTATGCCTCATCGGGAGGATTCAAAAAGATTCAAAGAGAATCCTAATTCACTTCCTGTGCTTAGCCTCCTGTTGGTACTCCAGGGGCTGCGGGGATTCTTTTTATTTCTGTAACTTGAAGTATGATAAGACTCTTTATTTATTCATTCATTCATGCCTCAAATATTTATTTACTGCCCATCTTTCCATGCATAGTTCCCTTATTTGCCAAATGAGGGTAATAATGGCATTTATCCAGCTGGGGGATATAAGATTTAGTGAGTAAATATATGCAAAGTGCTCAGAACCCCTGCAAGGCATAAATGACATAAATGTGATATATACATTAGCCATCATCATCCTTAGTGCCAGTTTGCATCAGACACTGTGCTAGGAAGGCACTAGGGTTAAAGAGGTGAACA